CTTGTCCCCAACTGAGATTCCCTCAGATAACTTGAGGTTGTATCCAGTAGACAACAGAAACTAACTACCCTTGAACTCTGTATAATCTTCCTGCCTCCCTCTGAAGCGTGCAGGGTTTCCAGGTGTGAGCCATGCACCTGGCATTTTGAGGCCGACCATTTCGTGCTAGGTCAGAGCTGCTGGTGAGCCTCCTCTACCGCCTGAGGGTTACAGACATGTCACACCAGGTGGCCCATGGTCTGTCCTGAAAAATGGGAATTTTGGAATACTTGTGTTACAGGCTATGAATGTACTATGCATGAATGAGAGCTCAGATTCTGTCCTAGCTTCCTACATCCACTAGGAGTTTGTAATAATTAGGAATTGAAGGGGTCCTAAAGATTGTAGTTTTCATTAATGGGGGGTCTGATCTGTTAAGAGATTAGGGGAGTTCTTACTGGAAGCCTCCAATCAGAACCTTCATTTTATGAAGGGTTTGGAGTTTGCATTCTCTAAATTCATGGTACCCTAATCCTTTGCTGTCACGCTAAGAGCTCAGTGGTTTCCAGCCCTCTAATATAGAAGTGCTGTTATCACAGTAGTAGACATTTTGATGTCTGTTGTTGAGAAAATAGAATTTAAAAACAACTTACAGGGTACAGTGCTGCAGTTAGAATCAATTCTGGTGTTCTCTACTGCCCAGCAGGGCAATTATTGTAAATAACAGAATAGCTGGGAGAGTTTTGGGTATACTACAAAGGATGATAAATTTTCAAGGTTATGGGATGTTCATTAGCCTGTTTTGCTCATCATCCATCCATTGTATAGTTATTGAAACATTGCTTTACTCCATAAGTATGTACAGTTATGTATCAATCAAAATTTTTAAAAATTATGACTTTCCAGTAGAGGTTAAAATTGCTTTCCTCAAATGAAAGCTTATATGGAACCCCAACACATAAAAGTTAAAATGCTATTGGATTATAATTGATTGGGGAGGCAGGTCTTGGAAACTGTTGTTTGTTAGGTTCTAAAGGACTTCATGTGCATGTGTAAAAACACGCATGCCAAGGCATGGGTGTGGAGTCTGCTCTCTCCCTCATGGTAGGTCTTGCATGCTCACCAAGGGCCTCCTGTGCTCACCAAGGGCCTCCTCACTGAGCTGCGTCCCTCAGCTCTGTCATTGTTATTTTGTTTGTATTTGAGACAGTCTCAGATTGCAACCTGTTGAGATTTTCCCAATCTCCCAAATTGAGATTTAGCCTCAAATGAACACACGGATGCTATATTAGTTATGAAATTGTTGGCTGACTAGGGCTTCTTATTGGCTAAATCTGTCTTTAAGCCTTTTTTTTTATCTAAGCTTTTTTTTTTTTTTTTTTTTTTTTTTCCCCGAGACAGAGTTTCTCTGTGCAGCTTTGGAGCCTATCCTGGAACTTGCTGTGTAGACCAGGCTGGCCTCGAACTCACAGAGATCCGTCTGCCTCTGCCTCCCCCGAGTGCTGGGATTAAAGGCCTGCGCCACCAACATCTGGCTAATCTAAGTATTTCAACGGGTCTTATCTTACTGGAAAAGAGTCTGGACCTCTAACTCTTTTGGCGGCTCACATAGCAACTGTTTTGGCTGGCCCTCTCTGCCTACCTTTCCCAGAATTGTCTCCTAGTCCTGCCTGTCTTCCTGCCTCATTGGCCGAATAGTGTTTTATTTATTAACCAGTAAGAGAAACATATGCAGGAGGACAACCCCATCAGTAACCCAGGTTGGCCATGAACTCCTGGTGATCCTCTCCTCTCCATGCCCAATTCTGAATTGAGTGCTCCTTTTTAATTTGTAGCTGAGGGTGAACTTGTATTTCATACCTTTCTGCCTTCACCTACCAAGTATTGGGTCTGGGATTATAGGCATACCGCCACGCCTGGTGTATGTGGTGCTAGAGATTGAACCCAGGAGTTCTGTGCATGCTAGGTAAGCCATCTGAGTGATGCCTCCAGCTCTTTTGGGGGGGGTGGGGGAGCGCTCCTGGAACTCACTTTGTAGACCAGGCTGGCCTCGAACTCACAGAGATCTGCCTACCTCTGCCTTGAGTGCTGAGATTAAGGCATGTGCTACCACCATTCTGCTCCCTTTCTTTTTCTTAAAAAATTGTTACATTTTATTTTGTGCATGCACGTGTGTGTGTGTGTGTGTGTGTGTGTGTGTGTGTGTGTGTGTGTGTGTGCGCGCGCGCGCACATGTGTGCATGTATGTGCATTTACATATGTACTAGCATGCTTGTGAGTGTGGGCATGGATGTGGGAATGTGGAGGGAGGTGAGAGGGACCGCTTGCTAGAGTTGGTTCTCTCCTTCCACTATGTGGGTCCTGGGATTGAACTCAGATCATCAGGTTTGCTGGCAAAAAGGGCTTCCATAACCCATTTTGAGTTTTTTCATAATAAAAATGTGAGGAGCCAGGTGTGATAGTGTAACTGTAATCCTAGCACTTAGACAAAGGGCATGAGTTCAAGGCCTGGGCCAGTAAGACTGTCTCAGAAAAAAGAAAAACCCTAACCAGCCACCACCACCCACAAACTGAAACATACATCTTGAAAGCTGTGACTAGGCTGGTGTGGTAGTGCATACCTGTAATTCTGAGGCCCAAGAGCTTGTGCTACCTCATAAGATCTCACAAAGTAAAATCGGTTGATGGACATTTCAGTCTTTTTGTTTGGGCAGTGTGGCAAGAGTGTCTCAGTTGGGAGTTGGGTGGTATCAAGATGGCTCAGCAGATGAAAGTGCCTTCTACCAAACATGATGATCTGAGTTGGTAGGAGCTGGGATCTACATGGTGGAAAGACAGAAACAACCCTTGCTAGTTGTGTCTCCCCCAAATAAATAAATGTATTTTTTAATCAGTAACTTAATTTTATTATCTACCATTTAGAGATCTGAAAACTCAAAAAGTCCCTTAAAAAGCCATAGAATATCTGGGAATTTTGGGCATGAAACTCAGCCTCAAACAAAAACAAACAGACAAACAAACAAAACACGCTTTAGGCACAAAATGAGTGAGTGGTAAAAAAGAAATCTCTATCCACAGAGGCAAAAGCCAGTCTCAACACCAGGGAGACTGAGACAGGATAGGCTCTGAGTTACAGGACAGGCTGGCTTGGTTGCAGAGTGAGACCTTGTATCAGAAAACAAAAATAAAATTCATTCATCCATTCATTCATTCATTTTCTGAAGGCTGGATTTCTCTGTAGTCCTGGCTGTCCTGGAACTTTCTCTGTAGACCAGGCTGGCCTGGAACTCAGATATCCACCTGCCTCTACCTCCCAAATGCTGGGATTAATGTCGTGTGCCACTGCCACTTCACCAAAGATCAGAATTTAAAAAGGGACTGAAAAGATGGCTTAGCAGTTAAGAACATTGGTTCAATTGGGTTCAATTCTCAGCACCCACATGGTGACTCTACCACCTGTAACTCCAGTTCCAGGGGATCCAGTGCCCTCCTGTAGTGTCCTTCCATCCAAGTGGTGCACAGACAGGCAAAACAAAACACACTTAATCCCAGCTCTTGGGAGGCAGAGACGGGTATGGGGCCAGCCTGGTCTGCATGAACATCCAGGACTATATAGAAAGACCCTGTCTCAAAAAGCCAAAAATGTAAAAAGTAAAGGACATGCTCATGGTAGGCATTGCTAGTTACCCAGCACGAGTGGGGTGATGGCCAGAGGGTCACCAAGAGTTTAATTTTAAGGTCATGTTGTACTACATATTGATCTGTTAGCTAAACTGGTCTACAGTCAGTGCGGACAGGCGGAAATCACTGAGCTAACCTGGTCTACAGTCAGTGCGGACAGGCAGCCATCACTGAGCTAACCTGGTCTACAGTCAGTGCGGGCAAGCAGAGATCCCTGAGCTAACCTGGTCTACAGTCAGTGCGGACAGGCAGCCGTCACTGAGCTAACCTGGTCTACAGTCAGTGCGGGCAGGCAGAGATCCCTGACTGGGTCCCTAGGATGTAGCCCTGCAGGTGTAGAGGATGCCCTCCTTACAGATTCACAAGTCTTCAGGGCTTGGTTGTCCACCATGCCTTCTCGTCTTGGTGCCCAGGTTCAAAGCAGAGAGTGAGTCTCTGGAAGGCCTCCAGCATTGTGGGAAGCTGCCCTGCTTTACTCACAGTGAGTGCTTGGTGTCACAGGAACTCCTTGGAGTTCATGGACGTGAACCTGACCTGGCAGCCTTCTGAATGTCAGCAGTGGGTGCTGTGGTGTTGGATCCAGGCTGAGCTGGTGGGCTGGGCCAACACATGCGCTCAGCTCCTCCTCCTGCTCCATTTCCAGCTTCTGTCGGTGAATGAAGGGAGCCTCAGTTCCCCCTCCGTTTAGTCAGGTTTGGCTAGTACCTTGCATGTCTTGATGTGGGGTGCCATCTGGGAGTCTTTCTGCCTCTTGGGTCTTAAGGCCCTGAGGATTCAGGATGTGGGGGGGTTCAGGGGACGCTGAAGGTCTTCTGTCCTGACTTCCAGTTTCTTAGTTTGCTCAAGGACTAGAGAAGACTTACTTAGGTTTTTGTCACTTCAAACTCTCTCTCTCTCTCTCTCTCTCTCTCTCTGTGTGTGTGTGTGTGTGTGTGTTGGTTTGACTTGTAGGTTCTCTAGCTTATGCTTAGAAATAAATGCCCTCTCATTACCTATATACCCAGACCCTGTTCATTCCTTTAAGATTTATTCACAGTGGATCTCATTCTCATTCTCACTTTAAAGCTGTCTTCAAATTCTTGTAGTCCTGCCTCAGCCTCCCAATTGCTAGTCAGTATCCATGGCACCTAGCTTTGTATTAGATTTTGAGGCCCTCTTGTGTTTTTACCTTGTACTTCATTGGTAGCTAACTTCATTGGTCAAAGCATTGTAGTTGAATGGAGAAGTTTGGTCAATATGCATTATTTGTATAGAGCAAGAATGTATGTAATTCAATAATTGTGAGATCATATTCTTGTTGGTAAATTTCTAGGAGTAACAGCCTTTTTCTTCTCTTGTAGCATAAGCAGTACTCTAATGGACGTAGACAGCACAATTTCCAGTGGGCGTTCAACTCCAGCAATGATGAATGGACAAGGGAGCACTACATCTTCAAGCAAACATATTGCCTATAATTGTTGTTGGGACCAGTGCCAGGCGTGCTTCAACTCTAGCCCAGACCTGGCAGACCACATCCGTTCCATACACGTAGATGGTCAGCGCGGAGGGGTTGGTTTTACCTTTTTTTTTTCCATTCTGTTTTGGTTGTATTAATTTATAATTGCTAATAGAATTTTATTTTTCTCTTCATGAAAGGAATTGGGGAATATCTGCCGCCCTGTTCTTTGTTATTTTCCTATCTACTTGCTAGGGTTATGTGAGGTAGGATATTTAATTTGGGGGTGTGTGTGTGTTTCAGTTTGCTGTAGTCCTTAGGAATATAAATATTCAGTGAGCCCCCAGGTTCTGGCACTAAAGGGGGAGCTTCTGGGTGGGGTGAGCAGCAGCCCTGTGGCTCTTGTAGAATCCTCAGTTACTGTGATGGGCTCGGCCTGCCTGAGAGGTGGGGCCAGGGTTGGTCCATGTAATGTTTAGCTCATGTAATGAAAAGGGAGCTAGCTCATCTTTTGTGGCCAGTGACTGGCCATCTTTCCTAAGGTCAGGTGTCCATGGAAGAGTATGTGTGATTAGTCAGTGTTGACCTATATACCCTTCCAGAGTACATTAATTTTGTCATCTGAAATGGAATGAGCAGTGAATACAGAAAAACCAAGTGAGATCAAAGTACATCAACTTTTTTCTTTTCACATAGGGGCTTACTCTGTAGCCTGCGATAGCTTTGCCTGAGTAATTATTCTCAACTCTGTCTAGTTGACTACAGTTAGTACATTTCCAGAAATTAATATCTTGCAAATACAGATAATACTAGGCCATGCATCTATTAGTCTGCTTTCCTGTTTTTGTTTGTTTGAGATAGGCTTTCATTCACTATGTAGCCCTGGGTGGCCTAGACTTTGCTGTTGTCTTCATTGTGGAGGTAGACTGATGCTGATATGGTTAAAATTGCCATAGTTTAAGTGAGTCAGATTGATACTTAAAATATTGGGATGGAGTATGTAGCTCGAGAGAATACTTGGATAGGATGCAGGAGACCCCATGTTGAACCACAGATACTAGAATAAGCAACTATGGAAGTATCTTGAGTATTTCAGTTAGTGGGGTCACCTTACAACCTTCCTTTAAAGGTGTGCACAGTGGTGCAAGCATACCTTTAATCCCAACACTTGGGAGACAGGGGCAGACTGATGTCTGAGTTTGCAGCCTGGTCTACATAGTGTGTTCTAGGACAGCCAAAGCTACATAGTGAGGCCCTGTCTCAAAAAAACAAAAACAAACAAAACCAAAACATACACACAAACCAAACACCACACACACACACACACACACACACACACACACACACACACACACGAAAACATACCACCAAAATAATCGTCCTTTTTGTGGTGATGTAATGTGTCAGCAGTCCTCCTTATACCTGAGGAGTAAATAGTTGTCTTAAGTTTCCTATGTCTGATAACCAGTTAAGTTTTGTACTACCACTTGGTCTACTGGTAAACTCTATGACTTTCACTGGAGTGAAATCCAGTCCTCCACCCAGTACAGCGGATATATTAGTATCATACCGTATCTTAACCATATTGCTTTCCTGTTACAGATACTCCTCACTGTGTACCCAGGCTGTCTTTAATTTACAATCTTGCCTTAACTTTATACTCAAATTGCAGTCGGGTGCCACCATACTATACTGCCTTTAGTGAGCCCGTGCCTGATGCTACTTGGTATTTGCTACATCCTACCATGGCATAAGCTTTTGTGGCACTTGATTTAGCTACTAAATATATAGGATTAGGATTGCTGTTTACATAGAGATCACTCAGCATTTCGTAGTAGGCAGGAGAGAAGTGAATCTTAGATCCTATCAATTAAATTGGCACACAGCCTATATGAATATTCTCAGCTATTTAAAGGCGTGTAGAAAAAAATGGAAGTTAAACTAAGTTTCCTTTTAATGAAACAAAGTTGAAGCTTATTATTAAAGTTTTGTGTGCTGGTGACATGGCTCAGTGGGTAAAGGGACTTGCTCAACAAAGTTGTCCTGTGTCCTCCACATGAATGTTGTGTCATGAAAGCCTGCATACCGCACAATAATAATTTAAACAGGGCTGGAGAGATGGCTCTGTGGTTAAGAACACTGGGTGCTCTTGTGAAAGACCTGGATTCAGTTCCCAACACCCATATGTTGGCCCACAGCCACGCATAATGCCTCTTTCTGACCTCTAAGAGTACTAGGCATGCAATGTTACACATACATACATGAAACAAAACATCGATGCTCAGAAAAGAAAAGTAAATAAAATCTAAAAAATAAACAACAGTAATAATAGAGTTGGATTAGTGGGTGAGAGTATTTGTTACTCTTGCAGTGGACCTGAGTTTGGTTCCCAGGACACACATGGTGTTTCATACCCCACAGTAACTCCAGTTTCAGATGATCCAGCACCGTCTTCTGACTACAGGAACCGGACATGCAAGTGGTACAGACACATGCACAGAAAAAACACTCACATACAGAAAATAAACACACCTAACACAGCAGTTTTATTTAGTAGAGAGAGGTAGTGGCCTGCCATGCGCCTAACTGCCTGTATACAAATCCGAAGGTTTTGGGCAAAGGTGGAAGGACTGCGTCCCGAAAATGATTGTCCTCGTACTAACTGTGACGTGTGCCCCCCACCCCACACACACACGAGAGAGAGACAGAGACAGAGACAGAGAGAGTCATAGGAAAGGGAAAGTGCATACTATTTGGGTGTGGGCTTCCCAAGAAGGAGGGGAAGGGAGAAAGATAGGGGAGAAGGCCTGGGTTTCTTAGCAATAGTCATATATATAATTTTAGTGACTCAAGATGTTTTGGAGGCAGAATTTCACTGTGTAGCCTTGACTGTCCTGAAACTTGCTCTGTTTCTTGAAACCAGGCTGGCCTCAAACTAATAGTGTGATCCACCTGCCTCTGCCTATCTAGTGCTAGGATTAAAAGTGTGCACCACCACCATCCAGCTATTTGTTTTTTAAGATTCATTTTGTTTTATGTATGTATGAGTGTTTTGCCTGAACGTATGTATGTGTACTGTGTGTGGAGGTCTTCTGTTTAGAAGACCTGAACAGAATTCAGGTCTTCTGCAGGAGCAAAAAAACAAACACTGTTACCTCTTGAGCCTTTTCTGTAGCCTGCTCATTAGATGAAACTTTGTAAATTATGTTACTTGATATGACATTTGATAACTGTTGGTACAGGTGTCTTAATGGTATTCCAGAGCCTGTCATGAATTTCTACAATCTTAGTGATTTCATTTGAACCTGACTCAGTATATTACTTTGTTATAGATAAGACCATCTAGCTAAGTGGATCTCAACCTTCCTAATGCTGCAACTCTTTTATACAGTTCCTCACGTTGTGCTGACCCCCCAACCATTAAATGATTTTGTTGCCACTTCATAGCTGTCATTTTACTACTGTTATGTTTGTAAATATCTGATACTCAGTCCCAGACCTAGAGGTTGAGAGCCAGTAAGTGCTACCATGGTTTTTACGATGTAGAATCCTTTTCTAGAAGGTGGGAAACCTAGGTTTAACACTAGGTTTAATCCTCAGCACCACCCCACCCCACCCCACCCTTTGTCCTGTTGCCAAAAAGGAATGATACTATTTTGATCAAAGAAGGCTACTGATAATGGAGGAATTATTAGTTGCTATGTTAAATGAAAGGATCAAAGAAATGTAGAAATGTACATCATGGTTTTGCACACCAGTCTTTTATTTTTAATTCAAGAAATTACATTGGGTCATCCTAGAGTGAAGTCTGGGACTGATGCATTTCAGACAAACACAACCACTAGGCTCTTCCCAAGCCCTGGGGCATAAAAAAGAACACGAGTTTGGTGCTTGGGATTATGAGACAAAAGAAAAGGTTTTCTTTTTTCTTTTTTTTCTCCTTTAGAAATGGGTTTTACTATATATTCTTGCTCACCAGGAATATTCTGTGAATATCTTTCCACAGTCTCCTTTAGAGCTGTACATCTTTGAGGGGGCTGGAGAAATGGTTCTGGAGTTAAGAGCACTGGCTGTTCTTCTTTAAGTCCTGAGTTCAATTCTCAGCAACCACATGGTGACTCACGACTATCTGTATATAATAGGATCTGATGCCCTCTTCTGGCATGCAAGTATACATACAGAGCACTCATACATAAAATATGAAATTCTCTTCCTCTCTCTACACACACACACACACACACACACACACACACACAGCGCTGTACTTCCTTGACCCTTCACAAATGTCTTGATCTGGCACCATGAACCCCAGGCTGGTCTCATACTCTTTGCAGTCTTCCTCAGCTTATTTAGTTCTGGAATCTGACTTAAGCTTTTTTAGTTGGGTTTTGTGTCTTGAAGAATGAATGTTGGTTGAAATAAGAATATGTTTTGTAGTGACCTTTAAGGGTAACATAAATCATTTTAACTTTTTTATCTTAATTTAATTTGATGTATGTGTTTTGCTTATATGTAAGTGTGTGGCAAGTCACTCATGCTGTGTCCTATTGAGACCAGAAGTCATCTAATCCCGGGACTCTGGGTTTACAGATGGTTGTGAGCCATCATATGGGTGCTGGGAATCGAACCCAGGTCCTCTGGAAGAGCCCTCAGAGTTCCAGTGTTCTTTGGTTGTTTGGTAGTTTTTTTTTTTTTTTTTTTTAATTTTATTTTTTATTTTTTTTAAGACAGGGTTTCTCTGTGTAGCCCTGGCTGTCCTGGAACTCATTGTGTAGACCAGGATGGCTTCGAACTCGAAGAGATCCACCTACTTCTGCCTCCAGAGTGCTGGGATTATAGGCATGTGCCATAACTGCTGTTTCCTAGTGTTCTTAACTGGGGAGCCATCTCTCCAGCCTCAAACTTTTAACTGTTTTAAGTGTGTAATTCAGTGGCACTATGTAAATTTATTTTCATTACCTGTCTCTATGGCTTTTCCATTGTCATCTCAAGATGAAACCTGGGGCCTTTATCAGTCAGTGTATAACTGTTTTGGTGACCACTTTTTGTCTCAAAGTTGTCTACTTATCGTCTATGAGGACTTATATTTTCTTTCAGTGCTGGAGTTAGAACC